TTGCGAAACCACTCACTGGACTCCCTGGGCTCTTGGGACAGTGATAGTGAAAGCAGCCTGGCCAGTGAGATTGGTATTAATGAAGAAATGCTCATCCCTACCACAGAAATACAGAATGGCTAAGGTTCGCAGAAAGTTTGATTTTCGAAGACCAAGGTGAGGCACAGTGCTTCCTTGCATATTAGTCAAACTAAAATAGCCGTAGGTAACAAATTCAAATTCATCGGCAAAGAACACCAAGACACTGCCTGAAGATATCATTTTTCTTAAATCTGTGAGGAAAATTTATTTTCACTCCCCGAAACATAGAGCCCTTCGAGGTACTGCAGAAGGCGAACGACCTCAAATCACTACTTGTTCTAGCAGAACTAAAATTCACTGAGCGGGTAACCAAAGGCCTAATAATGTGCTATTTGCTAGACATGCATCTCGATGCAAGCCATATCAACACATCTTGAAAGCTGAGCGGCTCCGTACCTACGAGGCAGGTCTTGATCCAGCATAGAGGACCTCTCCCAGCTCAAATGGATCTCGGTTGCTGGGAAATGTACCAGGTTAGAACGTACCACCCAGAACCTTTGAGGTGTTTCAGGTGACAGAGGTACAACCACCTCAACGCACGATGTTAATTTAAAGAAGTAGGATTCACCTGGAGCGGGTCTCACCCAACCAAGGACTGCTTGGATAAACTGAAGAAGTTGGATCTACGGAACCTAGATGTTCGAACTGTGACATGAAGCAACATGCTTGGAACTTGCACTGCCCAGAAAGGCTCTGCCCTGTCGATGCAGCAGGGAAATTTCCGGTTGTGCATCCTCCCTCACCATACGAGGCTACAGCAACACAGAATCCAGGGGCACTTCCCAGGCTACAGCGACGAAGCCGAGGAAGCACCAGCGACGGGTTCGCGTCCTTGGTCAGCCAGCTTACAATACTTCTGTTCAAGTTCTTACCCAACAATGACAGCGAAAGGGCCCCATGCTTCAAGAAAAGGCTAAAGACAATGCATGAGCCCTAGTACAACAAGAGTCAACAGTTAGGAACACTGTAGTCCAAGAGAGCAGACCAGGTCATCCCATGTTACCTCTGAGACATCAAATATTGTCGACGATCACCTGCTTCACTGACATCATATGCGACCTGATAGATTCAGAATAAAATAAAGAGTAATTCAGAACTATTGTGATGTTCGTGAACATATGCATGATGGACAAAACAGACTCCATGTGTTTATTTTCAAATTTACCTGATTACCCAACACAGGACCCAGAGACGTTGTTGGGAGGCCTGATGGCCTCAGCCGTCTGAAATACATAAAATATTTTGCAGTGGAACGTACAGGGACTACAGCAAAACCATGATCTCAGCCACAGAACAGCTGAATTAGATCGACGTCTCCTTAGAGATCCTCAGACGGGTCAGCTTTTAAGACCCATGTCAGGACACAGTTACTGACGAATGAATCAGTCAACTCTTTTCTGTCACACTGTCAGACGTCAGGTGTTCAACACACCTCCAGAGGATCTCCTGAGTCGGGCTACGGCACTCGGACTCTGGCCTGAGTGCCAGGAATTGGTCAAATTGAGTTGAAGGACTCACCGCCCTTGTCGTAGGGCTACCCCCGCCATGAATATTGATGTTATCATAGTGGGTTATAGATCTACTCAGATTTCTAACTGCATTCTATAGCATTCAGTTTAATTATTGACTTCTCTCTCATTATTATGCCTAATGCTAGACACATATATACAAAAGTTATATTCTACATTATCCTTCAAAGTTCTTTTCTTGGATAACACATCAACTTTATCATGGAGTTATCTAATGTGTGATCGGATCCATAACTGTACATTAAGTCCTCTTTCCCGGAACTTTTAGTATTTTTACATGGCTTCTCCAATGAGCATGTTCTTTGAGTCATTATGTGAGTCAAGAGCCTTCAGTGATGACATAGAATCAGTAATGATGATAGATTCAAGCTCAGTGTCAAAAGTTAGCTTTCGCGCCATTAGGATTGCAAAACAATTCAGTTTGCAGTGTAGACGCCCAGTTGTTAATTCTTACGCCTAACTCAACAAAGTTGCTCTCGTTGTTAACTAGGGAGGTGGCAACAAGAGCAGATGCAGGCCTGCCAGTAGACGACTCCTGTGTCTTAATAAAGTCTACCACTGGTAAAAGTTTGAAACTGACCAAGAAAAGCATTCTCCAATAATTGATTCGATTCCAAAGATTCCAAGTTATTTACATATTTATTAAAATTTCATATTTGCACCTACTTAGACTAGGCTTATCGGGAATCACCCTTTTTAAAGAAGGATAATTCAGAAGAATCATTCTTTTTATAAAATTAGTATGATTCAGAAGAATCATCATTCTTATAGAAGGATGATTCAGAAGAAGCATTCTTTACCTGTTTAATAAAAATATATATCACTATTCATTCAATAAAATTGATAAATTAGAATTTTTGCTTCGAAATGGTAGTGTGAGCCACTGCCATTTCTCCACTGGAAGCCACCAGTGGTAAAATTTTGGACTAGATCAGATGAGTCATTCTCAAGTTATGGCAGGGGTTCCAACGGTTACAAGTTTTTTTTTTCTTTTTGCTACATCAACAAATTCGTTAGCACGCAAATGAAAATTATTTGGTAATATCCGTAATATTATTTAACGTGAATTAACGCTAAAAATTTCACACTGTTACATATAGAAAGTTACATCTCCACCTCACTTGAATGTCACTTTCCCTTTAAATCTTCTCCACTGAGGATTTTGGAAGCTATTGGAGACATTGAAGGAGGAAATACTGTTTGATTCCCCTGGGCTTAGAACGTCTACATGAATACGAAATGTATGTCGGTCTCTGCATGATGTGAGGAAGGTATCCTAGTATTTCGTAATCCCAATTCCCATGAGCCTCAATGCACGCATTACCATATATTTCTAATGCTATTTAATATTTGCTCTGAAGGTCTGAAGAGTTATCAGAAAAAGCATTCACTGGTCGTCAAATGGAAGTTAATATCCAAATTTTATATCTTTCAGAGAGATCAAAGCGAATAATATCTTAAAATGCGCATGTACATTAAGCCAGAAGCCGCTTAGGAGTTGCCCTGTCAAACAATCAGCATGGAAGGGTTGAAGACGAGTTGAAGACCAGTTGAAATACTGGTTTTCACATAAAACCAGTGATTCAATGTTAATTTTTTTTTTTCAGAAAAGTAAGCTGGTTCTTACAGAGGCAAATTTCCATCCAAACGTTTGCCTAAGACTTACCAGCTGTTAAGTTTTATGTAAGCTTAGTGCACATAACATACATTTTTTAAACAATGGTCTAGAGAGCACAAAGATGATAATTATAGATAAGTGAACATAAAGTTCATTTAACTTAGGATAACCAATAAAGTAGAACGCTGTGACTTATTTCTCATCAGCAGAGACATTCTCTAATTATTTTACAGAAACCAGTTTATTAAAACTGGTGAGGCATGCTAAGAGCACGTTATATTTTATCTGACGTATATCACACACCCATATAGGCTGCCTCTCAGTTAGCAAACCAGGTGCTAAGGGTTTAAAGAGCAGGGGCCCCATCGTTATACCAGTACCTTGGTTCAACCAATGGCAAGGAAGCCCATGCAAGCTGTGAAGCGATGTAGTGTGGTACATCGTGAAGCAGCATTGGTAGAGTTACCTTCACAGCTGGTCGCTGCGGTTCTCACCGTGTCTTGTGCTTGCATTCACCTCACTGTACATAGCTGCAAATACTGTACATAGGTTATATACATATTGTAAATACTAGCTTGTTTTGGTCAAGTAAATACAGTCGTTTACTCTTTCTGTTGCTTATTTGCTCGTTCCTAAATGGTTATCGTGTTACAGCAAGGTGTGCAGGCCAAATAGTCTACCCCTGTGTTCGTAATATTGAGTGCCTGTCCTGAAGTTTGTGAGTCCTCATTGTTTCTACGAGCCTTCTAGGATGCATTACGTTGCATCCTAGAAGTTGTTGTGTGCTAATGCTTCATAATGCATTAAGCGTATTGCAATCAGCGTTTCCTTATAGTGGGTTATGCCACCGACACATAGTAGGCGACTGGTGACTGAATATACCCTGAAAACTTGTCCAGATTCTCTCTACAGTGCTGCTAGCAAATTGTTCTTTGTATTGGTAAAAAACATCAACGAACTCTTAAGTCATTTATTTATTTATTTTTCCATTCTTTTGTTCAGGCAGAAGGCCTTCCCCTGACAACTGCAAACTCACTCAATGAAAATTATCTTGTGGTGAGTATATTACCGACCACATCACCTGAGGTGCACATTAACCAAATCACTGCTGCAGCATATGGGTGCCTGGTAAACCCAAGAATAGTATTTCGACACCTTAGGTGTATGTCAGGCCCATATTGAAGTATGCAGTGCCAGTATGGAACCCACACCAGGCCAAGCACGTCAGGAAATTAGAGAAAGTGCAAAGGTTTTCAACAGCACTAGTCCTGGAGCTAAGGGGCATGTCCTACGAGGAGAGGTTAAGGGAAATCGACCTAACAACACTGGAGGACAGGAGAGATGGGGGACATGATAATGACATAAAATACTGAGAGGAATTGACAGGGTACAAAGAGACAGGATGTTTCAGACATGGGCCACAGCAACATGGGATCACAGCTGCAAGTTGAAGAATCAAATGAATCACAGGGACGTTAGGAAGTATTTCTTTACCCACAGAGAAGTGGAACAATCTGGAAAGTGATGTAGTGGAGGCAGGATCCATATATAGCTTTAAGAAGAGATACGATAAAGCTCATGGAGCAGGGTGACAGTGGACATAGTAGTGACCGGTGAAGAGGCAAGGCCAGGATCTATGATTCGACCCTTACAATTATAATTAGGGGATCACAGTTAGGTGAGTACACACACATAATACACACACACACACACACACACACACACACACACACACACACACACACACACACACACACACACACACGTACTACCTTTTCGTCACGGACCTCTAGAGCGAAGGAGGTGTGAGAAGAAGGTGCGGAGCGCCGGCCTTTCACGGGAAGATGCGACAAAACGTCCACTACTACACTCTCCACCGTCGCTATGAAGATGAAGCTAAGGCATGTCCCAGTGAACACTTCAATGGCCTGTGGACAGAGAAAATGATAGTGCTCAGTTGGAATCAGTGACTACAAGTATCGTCTATGTAGTGACAAAATACTAAGTCACAGGATGATTCAAGAACACAAAGAAGCACGAAATAAAGAGTGTAGTGTTAAGGGGAATTTAGTTAGCATGCAGGAACAGAATGAAGTGAGAAAGTAGCTACCATGGTATACGAGGCGTGGGGCACGCTACGGTAGGTACTCTCGTGGAAGATAGCAGCTGTCATCAAGGACATCATTCCCAGAATCACCCGTACACACGCTCCTGAAATAATGCCATATGAGGGGTGGTAAATATCCTAGAAGAGGGTTAGAAAATCATAGTAAAAGTGCATTTCAAACTGTAAATATTCCTTAGTGATATCCTATCAACGAGCTTCAATGAGAAAACTTTCTCTAGGGGTATCCTATCGTTGAGCCTCAAGGAGAAAAAAATTTCCCTAGGGGTATCCTATCAACGAGCTTTAATGCGAAAACTTTCCCTAAGGGTATCCTATAGTTGAGCCTCAAGGAGAAAAAAATTTCCCTTGGGGTATCCTATCATTGAGCCTCAAGGAGAAAAAACTTTCCCTAGGGGTATCCTATCACCGAGCTTCAAGGAGGAAACTTTCCCTAGGGGTATCCTATCATCGAGTCTCAAGGAGTAAACATTCTCTATCATGACAAATAAGGAGGAAGTGTAAAAGATGAGGACAGACAGGAAGAGCAAGATACTCAACTATGAGATGGTAGAATTACAGAAGAGATTGGAAAAATAATGTGTAGACGAATAAATAAGGAAAATAACAACTTAGCTTTGAAAAAGGCCTTCGCAACGCGGAATATACGTGAAACATTTTTTTTCGACAATCATATTTAAGACTATTGGTGTTTTCATTTTAACGATGGAAGTCGCTTGAAAAAAAAATTGCATCAATCTGACTTTATTTTTCGTACACATTTTCATTACAGGTTTTGTAAACATCTAAAAGAAAAAAAAAATACCGAACTTACCTCTAATGTTGATGAAGAAGGAAAAATAGGCTGTGGTGACGGTGGCGATCATTGGGATGACAGTGTGTTTGACCTCCCATCCACCATAAGCCTGTAATTCCATCTCTACCCTCAGCTGCCTCTTGGGTTCTACCATGGCCACAGGAAAATATCTTAATCAAAGCAAGCAACTCCATATTCAAATGAAATGAGGATAAATACTTAACACGGAATTAATATAAAACATTAGTTACATAACTTGGCTATTAGTCACTTGTCCATTGAAACATACTCATATATTCTCAATAAAAATTCTCAATAGCCTTTCACTCCATATAGGATCATCTGTTACCTATTAATCCAGGAACAATTTCATCTCATCATCTCAGCTACCATCACCAGGATCCCTTAAACCAGGAGTTCTTAACCAGGGATATCAATATCCCTCGGGGGTATGAGAACCAAATAATGGGACTCCATCTATGAGCAATTTGCCGTTTTTCTATAAATAAATGTTCCTAGTTATCCATATGTAAATTTAAACCAAGATGTTGACATCTTTTAAAGTCATACTGGTATTTAACAGGACTCGTAATGATGAGTTCCACAATCTGGCAAATGTGGTATGGGAACTGTGGTATGCTAAGAGTATTTTATTCGGCGTATGTCACACTCCCATATAGGCTGCCTCCCAACCAGCGAACCAGGTGCTAAGGGTTTAACGATAAATAGGGCACCCGTCATTAAATCAGTACCTTGGTTCATTGGCCAATCACTGGCAATCCCGTCAAAGCTGAAGCAACGTGGCTCACTTGAGGGAAGCGAATTGACAGACTTGCCTGAGCTGTTGGTGGATACGGTGCACTCTCTCTGGCTTCTCCTTTTTGCCATCTTTAGTCACCGTGTGGTTCACTTGCTATTCAACTTCTGTACATAAGTGTACATGTATAAATCTGGCAAATTATATCTGGCGAAGGAAATAAGTTATATTCTATTGTTGAATTTGTTTGTTCCACTTTGAAACCCATTACGATCAGGTCTCAGGTGTTCGTGAAAAGGTTAAGAACTCCTGCCTTAAACCAATATTCCCTCATACTCTTAGGTTCTGAAGAAACTCCTTATTATGTAAATATAAAAGAATTACCAGTTAACAGACAACCATAGCTGACATCAGTGACATACTAATGTAGAAAGCCGCCTGTTATGCAGAGCATTTCTGGCAAGTTAGGTCAGTTTTGTCCCAGGATGCGACCCACATCAGTCCACTAACACCTAGGTACCCACTTTATACTGATGGGTGAACATGGATAGCAGGTGTCTTATGGAAATACGTCCTAATGTTTTCCAGCCGTACCGGAGATTCGAACTCCGGATCTCAGTGTGTGAGCTGAGTGCGACAGCGATCGAATGTAAACAATATCAAGACCGTCAAACATATTTAACGTAATAAGTATCGTAAAATAAACTTTATTTAAAAATGTTTCAACCATCCTGATGGTGTCACTCTGAGAATCTGAATGACGAAGCCCGACTGATCCACCTACTCAGTAGACTCTGCTCAGTAGAGCGTCGGACTGTTAATCTGCAGTCCTTGATGTCTCCCCGTCCACCATTCTGTTTATTAATTGAAAGCTCTTCATTGCTACTTAATTTGAGTCCATTCCTCATAATGTTGAGGTTAAACAAGATATGATTTAATAAAATTCAATAATGAGGGAAACGTGCGATAAAATACGTTTATTATATTGTGTGTCTATATGTCGACGGAGTTTTCCCAGTTAACCCAAACACTACACATAGAGACAGACCCTCCCTCCGTTTTGTTTTATGCATCAGCTTATCTGGACACGAGAGAGAGAGAGAGAGAGAGAGAGAGAGAGAGAGAGAGAGAGAGAGAGAGAGAGGGAGGGTGGTGGAGTAGCGATGTACGTCAGAGACAATTTAAATTGTTGTGTTAGACAAGATATAAAATTAGAAGCGTCAGCCACTGAATCTGTTTGGTTACAGCTTCTCGAGGGCCGTGAAAAACTAATTTTGGGTGTGATTTTCAGGGCCCCAAATCTTGACAGGGAGTGCGGTAAACTTCTATGGGATGAAATTCGTAAGGTCTCTACATGCGAAAATGTTGTGCTAATGGGAGATTTCAACTATAGACAGATTGACTGGAGCAATTTGACAGGAAATTTAGAGTCAAGTGACTTTCTTGATACGATTCAGGATTGTTTTTAAAACAGTTTGTAACAGAGCCAACTAGAGGAAATAACCTGCTTGACTTGGTTCTTGCCAGCAGGGAAACGCTAAGTAATAATCTTGAGGTTAATGATGAGCTTGGGGAAAGTGATCACAAATCACTCAGTTTTAATATATCATAGAATTCCCCTAATAATGGCAATCAAGTCTCTGTCCCTGACTTTCGCTTGGCTGATTTCATAGGACTGAAAAATTACTTAGGTGGGCTGAACTGGAATGACCTGACTATGGGTCAGGTAGGTGGTGATGGTTGCCGATATGACGTTTTCCAGGGCATAGTTCTAGCTGCTTAGACAACTTATGTTCAAAATAGGGAAATCAGATCAAGCAAAACTGATCCTAAATGGATGAATAATATTTTAAAACATCTCATTGGTCAAAAGAGAGCCATATATAGGAAAATCAAAAGAGGAGAGGTGCAATTAAGAAATCAATATATTCAGTTAAAGAGAGAAATAAAAAAGGGAATAGGAAAAGCAAAAAGAGATTATGAGGTTAAAGTTGCAAGAGAATCGAAGATTAACCCAAAAGGATTCTTTCAGGTATATAGAAGTAAGATCAGGGACAAGATAGGCCAACTTAAAAGTTACTCGTGTCAGCTCATGGACAGTGATAAGGAAATGTGTAGAATTTTTAATACATACTTCCTCTCAGTTTTTACTTAGGAAAATACTAGCGATATTCCAGAAATAATAAATTATGTAGAACAGGATGATGATAAACAATGCACGATTAGGGTCACAAGTGACATGGTCCTTAGGCAAATTGATAAATTAAAACCTAACAAAGCCCCAGGCCCTGATGAACTGTTTGCAAGGGTTCTAAAGGAATGTAAAGAGGAGCTTAGCAAACCTCTGGCTAATCTTTTCAATATATCACTACAGACTGGCATGGTGCCAGATAAGTGGAAAATGGTAAATGTAATACATATTTACAAGGCAGGTGACACGTCCTTAGCTTCGAACTATAGATCATTAAGCCTAACCTCCATTGTGGTAAAATTTATGGAATCAATAATTGCCGAGGCAGTTCATAGCCACCTTGAAAAGCACAAATTAATCAATTTGTGCTTTTCAAGGTATTTGAGGAGGTAGATCATGGTAATGAATATAATATTGTGTATATGCACTTCAGTAAGGCTTTTGACAGGGTCCCACATCAGAGACTACTGGGAAAAATTAAGGCACATGGAATAGGAGAATTTTTTTCCTGGATAGAGGCATGGTTGACAAATAGGCAGCAGAGAGTTTGCATAAATGGGGAGAAATCAGAGTGGGGAAGCGTCACGAGCGGTGTTCCACAGGGGTCAGTGTTGGGCCCCTGTTGTTCACAATCTACATAAACGACATAGATGAGGGCATAAAGAGCGACATCGGCAAGTTTGCCGATGACACAAAAATAGGCCGTCGAATTCATTCTGACGAGGACATTAGAGCACTCCAGGAAGATTTGAATAGACTGATGCAATGGTCGGAGAAGTGGCAGACGCAGTTTAAAATAGACAGATGCAAAGTTCTAAATGTTGGACAGGAAAATAACCATGCGACATATAAACTAAATAATGTCGAATGTGGTAACTGCTGCACCACTTGTGCTGAAGAAGACTCACGGTGTCCTTGTCATAGGACTGCCCCCACCAAAAGGCTGTAAATGGTACTGTACTTGACACGAAGGATCACCGTGTCTCTGCCTTAGAGCTGTAAACAGTATATAACTTGTAAAACCTCCGACACTCCTTCGGGAGTCACTGATGGGCCAATCGACACCATGCCTAACCCTTCTAGGGTAGGGTAGGTGCCTGAGTCCGAGCTTTTAGCTCACAAGACTGTCATTCCCATTTGCTCCCTTGGGGCGGGGATGGCAGGCCAGAGAGGTCTAGCTTGTGGCTAGGCCTGGGGACAGTTGGTCCCAAAGATGAGGAGGTACCTGTGCCTCCTCCCATGGGAGACTTAGGTCTCAGACACTCCCTAAAGAGGGAGCCAAGGCCGGGCCACCACTTGGAAAAGGCCCGGGCCGGGAGAATACCGGCGAATCTTTAATAATAATAATAACTGATGGGCCACCAGCTGGTACAGACCAGGGTCAGGATTTCGTTCCTGGCCAATATATTATCATCATATCATTTTATTAATTAAGACTGAAGAACCACTTGTGGTTCAACGTTTCCTTTAGTATATGTCCTGAACTGTACGTAAGTGTCTTTTTCCATATCTTGTCCGTATCATATTACCTCTTATTTTCTCTTGGCTTTATATCAAGAAGTATAAATGATAAGAATCCTCGGGCTAAACTTAATCAGGAATCATTCCTTCGAGGACTGACTAAGGGCACTGAATCTGCACTCTGGAGAGAGTTTACCTGGAGAGAGTTCCGGGGGTCAACGCCCCCGCGGCCCGGTCTGTGACCAGGCCTCCTTAGGTCAGTGTCCCAGGATGCGACCCACACCAGTCGACTAACACCCAGGTACCCATTTTACTGATGGGGAACATAGACAACAGGTGGAAAGAAACACGTCCAATGTTTCTACTCTGGCTGGGAATCGAACCCAGGCCCTCACCGTGTGAAGCGAGAGCGTTAACCACCAGGCCACCAGAGCCACTCTCTGGTAAGTTGTAGAATTAAAGGGAAGGAAGGAAGGAAGGAAGGAAGGAAGGAAGGAAGGAAGGAAGGAAGGAAGGAAGGAAGGAAGGAAGGAAGGAAGGAAGGAAGGAAGGAAGGAAAATAAATGAAAGACAGGAATAAATAAAGGGGGGAGACAAATAACTTGCTCAAAGTATCTAACCAAGACACGGCTCGCAAGCCGTGGAATGGAGTTGTGGGTGAGTGTGTCTAACTTCCGAGTAGCGCACTCAGCTCACACACTGAGGTCCGGGGTTCAATTCTCCGGTACGGCAGGAAATATTAGGACGTGTTTCCTCAAGACACCTGCTGTCCATGTTCACCCATCAGTAAAATGGGTACCTAGGTGCTAGTCGACTAATGTGGGTCGCATCCTGGGACAAAATTGACCTAATATGCCCGAAATGCTCTGCATAACAAAGGGCTTTCTATATAGTACTATGTCATTGATGAAGAAATAAAGATATTATTATTATTATTATTATTATTATTATTATTATTATTATTATTATTATTATTATTATTATTATTATTATTCTAAAGCCTTGGGCAGCTTTAAAAATATGTAAGGCAAGTACATGAGTGGGCGAGGAACAGCGGCATCAGCAGTCAGCACGGGAGATATATAGAGGTATCGTGGAATAGTCTTTACGAAATGCATGCAGAGTGTATATTACACATGTTGAACACAGAGAGGATAACGGGACCAGGAAAAGTTAGGTTTAGACTCACTGTGTGCTGTGACGACGGTCTTGGCTGAGGTCTTGACCTCAGTCAGCTCATATCCGTGAGTTATCATCAAGTTGGCAAATTCCACTGCTGTGTCCCCATACCACGACGGCTGCAGTTCGCTCGAGTCGTATCCCACTGTTAGGTTACAATAGATCATGCAGGTCAAGAAAGAAAAAAAAGACGAATCTAGAAATATACGGTTAAAATTATTTATAAAAACAGACTCTTATTTATGAAGACTGATTCAAAGATAATTACGAAGACACTATCGTGTGTTCGTAATTATCTTTTTCCATCATTCTTATATCAGGTCAGACTCACACTCCAGTCATCACGCATTTTTGGTGTGCTTATATAAACAAGATTCCTCCTTGGCCTTCTCATTACCTCACTTTATCCAACTGTATTATGAACTGTTGCTCATACCTTCTATTGACTATCACCTTATTTTCACTCACATTCACTTCTCTCTTCCTCACAGACATCACTCTACTCTTACTTCATCTTCTTACTAATAATGTAATTATTACTAAATAATGATCTGACGTAGCAGTCACTCTGACAACATACACATCCTATAGTGTTCCCATCAACGTTTTATGTACCAATGCGTAGTCTAGTAAACTATTACCAAGGTAAACTTCAGTATTCGTTGTATATTTATACTCGGTTTTTAATCTTTTATTCCTTAATAAATTATTATTTATTGTTTAATCTCATGTTAAACATTTAATTTAGATCCCACCTCCATTGCACTCTAAATTCTCCTACTGTGGTTTCCCACTACATCATTAAGTTCTCCATTCTTAAATCAAATCATTAACATCTCCACTCATATTTATTTTCTTTAAACAAATGATAATTCAGCATTACCGCTACTGTCATTCATTAATGGTAAACAAATCGACAATTATCTACGTATCTTTACCTTTATCCAGGTACTGAATGTGTCTTTTTCAACGATTTTCATTTGTTCAGTTCTCGCTTTGCTCAAGGAAGGTTCACTGATGCTGGCGATGGATTCTTATTGCAAGAAAACTCATCTGACCTCCCCTTCTCGGAATCGAACCTAATTGCCTCCTATTCCCTCTGGCGCAATATGAATGGAATAACTTTAGTTTCTCCTGTCCGTCTGTTTCACTCTGTAATTCTGTTTTTCTGTCCCTCTTTCTGTCTGTCCGCTTCTCTTTCTCAAAATTACTTCTCCAAGTCTGTGCGGCCTGGTCACCTTATCTTTACCTTTTAAAGAGATATAGATATGTAACGTACGAGCTCTCCGTGTGAGTGTATATAGCTGAAAAACGAACGCTTTAAACCACCCAGCCGCAGATTCCTCAGCAACGTTAACTTTTTTCTAACGCCGGGTATATCATCTGCACCTTGTTTCATTCTCTTTCTGTGTGATCTGGCCTCACGAGCGATACAACGTTCCGAACATTTGGCAGAAACAAGCGACAAACTGTTCAAATTTCACCACAACAAATAAACTCGAGAATCAATTAAATTAACATCGGTCAGGACTCTGCTAGACATCCCTAAGGCAGTAAGTACTCAAACATGATGCTAAATTGGCTGACTGTTTTGAAAAGATCAGTAATGCCCTCCTCCTGTGTGGTAATGTCTGCCTGGTCGTTCCACCCAGGTGGGACGAGTTCCTGGAAATATCTATCACTGAGCAATAAATTAATTCCCTCACAAATCAACAAGAAAATAAAGGAAGGGAATACAGCAGGCGAGATCAGACTAATCACTAGCATTGAAACAATTGTCGCCAAGAAATTAACCACACCGAAGCCTTACAAAGTAAAAAAAAAAGCACGAACCAACGCTCATAACAACGACAATGTTCCTCACGACACCTAAACCAGAGTACAGCCACTGACAGTCCAATAACCAGAAGTGTAGAAAGTTGCCGTGTTATTCCCTCCGGGATCTATGGGTGGTTTCACTGGATCAAGGCCACATCACATCAAACAAATGCTCAATCCAACAGTCGGAGTTGTTGTAGAGTGACTTCTTTCCGAGATCACAACAGTAGCCACTATCTATAGCGACAGTGGCGTTCCTGAGCAAATTCAGCATATCTCCTTTTTGGTGCATCCCTCTGTGCATTAAAAAAATAACGAATCAGGACAATTGCCATTGAGAACTCCCTACACCACCTTGTGAGCCATGTCAGACCAAGATTGGGAAGCCGCAGTCCATGTATTCATCATTAACCTCGTGTGCCATAAATCCCTCGTCAAATTAAATTTTTCGTCAGTAAAAAGGACATTTAACTCAGAGCTGCCCATCACCATTTTCCTACATTTTATCCATTTAACTACTCTTGCTACAACAGTGACCAGAAACTTCTCTTTAGTAAACACAAAGTTGATCCGTGAAGGTCTCCAACAAGGGAAACCTTTTGACCCTCTTCTTTTCTGCTTCGCCCTCAAAAAAATCACATAGACCTAGCTAACGATCTCAAGATCTGGTTCGTGTCTGATGGCACATAGAATTCCTTCTGGAAGACATAAGAATTATCAAAGAGTACAGATGGAAAAAATACTTCTCACAGTCGATCCTTCGAAAGTGAACCGTTATCTTCCAGGAAACACACCGTCGAACAAGTCTCAGTTGCTCTACAAGAAGTCAGAGTCGTTGATTTCACTACTTATAGATTTCTCGGTGCCCCATTGAACTTAATGTCATTGAAGAGATGTTGAAAAAGAAAGAAAATTCTCCGACAGATGGAGAGATGGCCTGATGGTCTGGTGGCTAAAGCTCTCGCTTCACATGGCGAGGGCCCAGGTTTGATTCCCGGCGAGGACAAGAACATTGGGCCTGTTTCTTTACACCGGTTCTCTATGTTCCCCACCAATACAGTGGGTTCCTGGGTGTTAGTCGACTGGTGTGGGTTGCATCTTGGGACAAAACTGATCTAATTTGCCCGAAAAACTCCGCATAATAAGGGGCTTTCTATATAGTAGTACGTCACTGATGTCAGCTATGGTCTGTCTACCTTGTACATGTACTTGTAGAAATAAAATTATTATTATTATTATTATTATTATTATTATTATTATTATTATTATTATTATTATTATTATTATTATTATTATTATTAATGATGCCAATGATGTTGTCTACCTTGTTTAAAAGGTAATTTACATTTTACGATGATCTACATCCTGTCAGCAGCAAACTGAGAGTACGACTCCATCCTAAAGACCATGCTAGACGAGAACTGCTCAATCATTGTATGTGTATACGTATGTATTGATTTGTATATATGTTTGTATGTGTATTCATGAGAATATGTATGTGTATGTATGTCGTATGTACGTATGTATGTATGTATGTATGTATGTATGTATGTATGTATGTATGTATGTATGTATGTTAGTTACCATTTCGTCTAGATCGTGTCATGCTCGCTCTCGCTACTCTCTCTAGGCCTCGTTTCATATGTATGATAAGGTGTATGCCTGAAATTGTATGTATGTTTCTTGTATCAGAATTACATTAGAATGTAATTGAAAAATTAATGTTTTGGAAAAACTCTCTGTAGATTGAAGTGTAATCGCACTCGCGCTCACTCGCTTTATTAATTTACTGAACTTCTGAAAAATTCCGCCTTTTTTTCCGCACGCGCGTGTTTCCTTTCACAGGCGGAGTTTTCTCATTCCCCCTCCACCTCCCCCCACCTCCACACTCACCTCCCCTCACCTACCCACCTACCCCTCACCTACTCCACACACACATGACTAAGTCACCAGAGAGAGCTCATGCGCCCGGGCCAAAAGTGCTGATTGTGGGTGACTTCAGTCACAGGAAAATTGACTGGGAAAAACCTGGAGCCACAAGGGGGGAGGGTCCAGAAAAACTTGAAGGGCCAAGATGTGGAGGTGGTTACTGGAAAATCTCATGTACCAACACTTTTAAGGGACATACCAGAGAGTCGAGAGGAGAAGACGAACCACAGCAAGATTGGATATTGTATTCAACCTTGAGTAGTGCAAATATTGAGGACTCACATATGAAAGACCCCTCGCGGGCCAGTGTTTACAATCCGATCGGTTATGCAGACTCTCAAGAATTATATTAAAAGCAAAGTGGAGAGGAAGCAGGAAGGGCAGCTGAATGAGCCAAACGACAAAGAGAGGGGACTACACAAGCTCTCGCTGATTCCCTGCCGAGGCTCAGTGAGGACAGAGATTAGCAGGAACATCAGTAATTGAGATGAGATGGAATATGTGACAACAATATGAAGGAAGTGAGAAGAGATTTTGTGGCAAGGGGAAACCGAAATAACGAGAAGGCCAAGATGAGCCCCATCGTTCAACAAGGTATAGAAAGGCCAAACCAGGTGTGCCAGGAGAAAAGGAAGAAGCATATAAAGCAAAGGACCAGGAGGAATAAAGGACACTCTTGTGTGTGTATTATTTCATATTAAAAAAGAAGCGCTAAGCACAAGGACTATACTAGCGTGCAGGGGGCAGGAAGGAAGCGAGGGGCATCATGGTGGCAAAAGGGAAGAGATGGCCCCTATGAGCACAAAGTTTACGGATAACAGCGGGGCAGTGGTGATGGAGTCCGACCAGGCCGGCTCCAAGGGGGCAGCAAGGAGACTGAACCAGACAAGGGCCTGGGGGAGTGCGAAAAGTTAATCATCAGAGTTTGTGGGAGTAAATCAGTCGTCTGTCAAGAGTCAATGACGGAGTCAGGATTAAAGGGGGTATCACAGGCAAGGAAGGGAAGGTTAAAGAGAGAGTAGGAGAACGAGGACGACGTTGGAGGTAAATTCTGCGGTGCTCGTTGATAGAAGAGGGCAGTCTAACCAGAATGTGGTAAATTCGGAAATGGAACATTGAATTGCTACAGAGAGGAACAGGGTGCCTCTCCATGAGATACCATGAGTAAGAGAGTGTGGCAATGCGAAGGCGGCGAGCGGAGACGTGGTTCCCAACTCGGCACTGATGACAGATGTCGGCCATAACTTATTACGGTTTAATTGCATCTGAGTTTGTTACACGAGCAGAGTTTGGACCAACGTTGTTGCCAAGGGGTGCGAATGGTGGGAGGTAGCTATTGCTGCACCCAACACACATAGTCAGAAATGGAAAATCGATAGGAAATGGTAGGTCATATAC